GAAGATTGTTCCACAGGGCCGGGGCAGCTACAGAGAAACACCTCCCCTGGGTAGTCGCCAATCGGCATTGTCCGGTCGACGGTACCCGAAGGAGGCCCAATCTGTGGGATCTTATAGGTCGTTGGGAGATGTGTGGCAGGAGGCGGTCCCGTAGGTATCCAGGTGGATGAAAGAATTCAATCCTCCACATGTTTCCATTAATAGAGGGCTCAAAATGTATGGATATACTCCAGTGTTAAATGCATTTTCATAAAGAAAACATGCAGAAGGTATGAGGGATTTTGAGTTGTTTTGCTTTGATGATATTATGCACAAGGACCACATATTCGTTATCCTTGGAATTGCAGCCCCCCAAGTGTCCCCATAGTCAAAGGATTATAATTCAGGTGCTTGGCAATCAGGTGCAATTAGAACAATTAGAGCATCCAATGGTTGCATGATCACTGTTCCAACTATCTTTGCCAGTGCCCTACAAGGAAAGTCATGGCAATCGCTCTTAGCCATTGGGTGAGATTCACTGAATGACCACCTGTAACCACCAGAACTGCCATCAGTGCATTTTATGTCTGTGACAGTTAGCGATGGAGTTCCCAGTCACCATCTTTAACCGAGTCATGAGATCACCTTTGGCAACCTTCTACCTGAAAATGTAAGACAGAATATCGAACATAGAAGCACCTTGTCTGCTTTTCAACATAGGAAACACACAGCACGAGAAATACTAAGACCCCAGTTTGTGGATGTAAATCAAGGGTGTTAAAATGGCGCCCCACGGGCCGTATGTGTCATGTATAGGCCACGCCCACCCCAGCTCCATGAAGGGGGAAAACGTTGCAAAGCATCACATGATGGCAACATGACGCGGTGAGTTTGACACTTGTGATGTAAATTATAATAACAGAATCTTGAAAAACTGACAGACTTTTTCTCATACCCAGAGAATCAAAGCAAAGTTCTCTTGAGTTTATTTTTCATCCATTCCTTTCTTTCCAGCATAAGTTTATGTTTTGTAATGGCTGCCGAATACTTTCTTCCAAATTATCTATACCAGTGACGGCTAATGTTTTGGTTGCCAAGTGCCAAAAGCACGCACAACCATAATGCAATGGGTGTGTGACATGCACCTCGCGCCCCCAATGCATGCACATATTCCCTCCCACATGCTCCGTGCCCCACACATCAAACCCCTGTGCATGCACGTGTGTCTTCTGCATGTGCCCTGTCCCCCCACGCATGCACAGCAGAGAGCCAAAAACCAGCTGGCCGATAGGCGGATGCGTACATGCCCAGTGGAGCTGAGCTGGGCAACAGCTTGCATGCCCACAGAGAGGGTTCTGCCTGCCATCTTTGGCATAGGTGCCATAGGTTTGCCATCACGGATCTATTCTCATTCTCTCCCCCTCCCTCCCTCCCTCCCTCCCTCCCTCCCTCCCTCCCTC